CATGATTTAACAGTAACAACAACTAACATTTAATGAACACTTAATATGTAGGAACAATGTCCTCTGTATAATTCTGTAATGTTACAAGAAACAAAGAAGATCTCATTAACTTGCCCAACATTAACAACACATAAAGAGCTGAAACTGCAATCTGAACTAAGGCCATCTGCTTCAAGAGCTCTAATGTTCAGCCACTGTGCTACAGTGCTTCCCAGCTACAAAGCAATACCATCATTCATACTCAAGACGTATCAAACATTCCTTTCCTATCCAACCCCTTTCCTCAAGAGAATGCTCCAATTCTGATCAGTCTCATTCACTCAAAAACATATTTATTCAGTTATTTAACAAATGTATTCTTCGCATAATCAACTTAGTCAGAGACCAAAATATAGAGTAAAAGGCAAGATCCTTGCTTTCTCCTTAAGTCCTCAAACCACTCATTCTCAACAAACAAAACTAAAACACATACCTTTTAGTAACACATAAGCTTTTTACATATATTGATTCATTCAATCTACAAAACAACCCACATTATTACTATCATTATTATTATCATCCAGATTCTACATTAAAGAAAACAGAAGCATGGAAGTTATGTAATGTACTCAAGATTACATGGCTAGCAAATGAGGCAGGATTTAAAACCACTCTAGTACTATATTAGAATACAAGCCCTTAACCAGTTTGTTAGAATGCCATCAAAGTCAGACACTCCCTAAGCTTCTCAACCCTGCACCTACAACATAATCTATAGTAATTAATTCATTCAGCACTGGCTTTAAACAGGAACGGGGGCGGGGGGCAGGCCTAAAATCACACTATTTCAATGGCTGAGCTGAGAGTCTGAGACCAGGCTGGGCAGTGAGTTCAAAGCCAGCCTGAACTACATAGCCAGGCACTGTCTCAAAACAAAAACAAAAACCCTGGCTTTGACAGTTAAAGTGTACTGTCAACTCAATTGGCTTCAGAGCCACCAGTCTGGATGGGTCATGGAAGTCTGATCTTGGGGTCCATCTTTAGTCAGTCACTCCTTCCTTTCTGTTGCTGTTCCCCTGCTCTGCTTCCTGGCTGCCATGAACTAAGCAGCTTTGCTCTGCCACACCCTTCTGCCATGATGTTTGTGCTTTGGAGCCAATTTACCAAGAACTGAATCCTCTGAAACCCTTTGTCCTTTATGCTGTGTACATCAGGTATTTGGTCCCCATGAAAAGCTGACCAAGGCACTGGTTGATAATCAATTTGCCATGTTTTTGTTCCTTGAACAGGAGCTTGTTCCCACCTCAGGGCTTTTATAATTACCTAAAACACTCTTCCTCTAGATCTGCCTCTTCATCATTATATCTTAACTTCCACAGAGACCTTTGCTGGCCATGTCACCAACTATATCATATCTACAAATATTCTTCACATGAAATCAGTCGTATTTCCTTTATAGTTACTACTTATTACTAACAGAAATTACCAATTGTCTTTTTCTCCCACAAAAGTGTAAGTTCCAAGACAATAGAGACCTGGTCTACTGAACTCACTGTTACCTTTTCAGCTTCTACAACAGTACCAGTCAAACAATAGGCGCTTTGATATTTACAGAATGAAAACAAAAACAGTGTGCTAGAAATTAAGATTATCAAAATGGATATGGTTCCCACTCTCAATAAATTCCCAGTCCATATATTCACAAATACTGACATCCTCCTCCCTTTCTACATTCAAGGAAGACAAGCCTCTAACTTTTTCCAATACTAACCTTTTCACCTGTCATCTTAAACCTGTCCCTGAGATAGCCTGTTGACCTCTTTCTATCAATCATCCCCCTCTCAATTCTTTACTCTCTCCCTCACCACTTAATGTTCCAATATTTGAATACCCTACCTATCCTCCCATACTTGAATATCCTTCTAGAAACCCTCAATTTTCCCCTAGGTTACCCCATCCATCAACTATGACCACTTCCTCAAAAGTTATCAGTGACCTAGAAACTGCTCTCATTTTGCTCAGCCCTTAACACTCCTAAGAACTTTCAATCCACTTTCCTGAGACCAGAAGAACTACTTACTATCTCATGGTTCTCTTGATTTTCTGATTTATTTTTACAGTTTCCTTCATTGTCTTCTTTTCTCTCACACCTTTAAACTTGATGCTCATTAGAGCTTCATCCTTGATTCTTATTCCATTCTGTATTTATCTCTTCTCCTCTATCTCAACTAGTGCCCTACACAAATAATTATAGCCTAAATTTCAGCTTCTTCCTCTATTATCTTTAATAAGAATCTTTTATTTATTTATTTATTAGATTTTTTTGAGACAGGGTCTCGCTATGTAGTCCATGCTGGCTTTGAAGTCACTATGTAGCCAGTAATTGAAATCTTAATCAGGTCCTTAACAAAGAGTAGTTGGCCTTAAAACTTAGAAAAAATGTTAACTGTAATAAATAATACTGTTGTGAACAACTGGTTTCAATGAATACTTACTGAAATACTTGAACGAATTCCTTATTAATTTTCATTGATAGTTTTCACAAAATGAACCAAAGACTAAAAAAAACTCACACATTTTATGTATCTGATTAACCTATATTAATTTTGTCTAATACCACTAATCTGTTCTTGATACACATAATTGCATAATAAAGTAGTAAAAAGTAAACTAAGAATATGCCAGTCACTAATTATTCCATAAGTCTTGCAGATAGCATACAAAGTAATATAAAATCCTTGAAAAAGGTTTGTATGGATTTACTTACAGTGCAATAACTTACTGACTCACAGTTCAAAATTGTACCTAATTATCAGAGCAAATTCTCTATTGCTTTGTGCCATTTTCAAAAACATTACGAAGAAACAGACTTGCATTACTCTGGCCTTCAGCTTATATAGTAAAGAGCGGTTGCACACATTTATATCAATATAATAAACTACTGATATTCCCAATCCTGAAAATATTACAGACATGAGAAGATTGCTTTAACCAGAAAAAGTGTGAACAAAGCTCCATCTTTATAACTCTCCCAACTGATAAACCACAATGCACACTGATAAGCTACAAATACCTGCTTACAGTCCAGTTCCTTTTGCAATGAGAGAAAAAGACATCTGGTTATTGCCTAATAAACTGCCCATTCAGTAAATACAATAAACTATTTTACTCATTTGACAAAAATCTATGTTTTCTTCGTGTACTGCAAGAAACTGTGGGAAGAGATGAAGGCAACTCCCAATCACCACTGTCAAAGCTGGTGAAACAAGTCAGTCACCATCCTTCAGGGTATGTGACATGTAAGGGCATGGAAAAGAAAACAATAGGAAAGCCCTTAGCAGAAAAAAAAGAAAAAAAAGGCACCCACATTTTGAGCAAAAGAAAATGAAAGTGACTTAGCATCTACATTAAGAAAACTAAAGTGCACCCAGCACAAATGAAAGGGATATTGGAGCTACTCAAATTTTCTAGCTGGTGGCAGTTGAACACTGTACCAGCTGTCATACTCTGAAGTTCTTTGGCCTTTCTTTTTTCCCTGCAAAATTCCCTCTGGTTCTAAATCCTGTAAGTAACAGGGAAAATAGAACAGATGATGGGAAATGGCTGATGGGACATCAGAACACAAGAACAGCTGGAAGCACATTTCTAGGAGGCCAAAAGGCCCAGTTTGAAAGTACAGCCCTGAAAGAAAAATCTCTGAGACATTTTTCATAGCTACAGAAATTTCCATCTGTATCACTTATTCATAAACCTCTTAAAATGCAACCTCCAGCCAGATAATCAAAAACTCGTCTTAAAATATGACTTTATCCTTAACCTTATACCATTGCTCCTCTTAGTGAAGGGCAGATTTCTTTATGGAGGGAGGCAAGGAGAGGAAGGAATGTCATGGCCGGGGGAAGGGGGGGTGTGCAAATAACTGCAGCAGATACACTGGAAATGCCACTTCCTTCACCACTTTTGCAAATTCTCTTCGCGTAACACACTGTTAGCTTCTCTATCCATGCCTCTTTCTCAACAATACACATACACACACACACACACACACACGTGTCATAACTGAGGAGCACCATCACCTTTTCTAGCATCACACGCTATGTTCTCATCCCTCCTAACCCCCCCCCCCCCCACACACACACCACGGTGCAGAAATTGCAGCCACGGCATCTTCCTCGTATCTCGCCTAAGTGCTTCTACCACCAGCATCAAAAGAGCTGACTGGAAGACAGCTGGGAACACACTTACGTAGACACACGCGCGCTCTTGACACAAGGATGCACACACACGGGTGCACACCCGGCATGTGGGGCAGGGAAGGGCACCCAAGAGACGCACCTGGAGGCCGGGTGTCCAGCGCTGCCGCCCCCCTGGTCCCTGTCGCTGAGCGCCGAGGTGTAGATCCTCCGATAGCGGTCGGCCAGGGCCCGGCCAGACAGCAGCAGCTGGTAGTGACCCCGCGAGTCCGCGGCGGGCAGCCCCAGCCCCAGCCCCAGTCCCAGCCCCACGGCGGCCACGGAGCCCTCGGGAGCCGGCATGTACAGTGCCCCCTGCGCTGGGGAGGAAGACACAGTGGTGTTGGGGAAGAAGGCGTCCCCGCCGGGCCCCGCGGAGACCGCGGCGGTGGAGGCAGTCGCTGCGCACATCATCCTCCTCCTCGCCACCGCCGCCGCCTCGTCCCCGCGGGCCGGGCGGGCAGACACGCGCGCGCGCTCACAGCCCTTTCCTACGACGAAGGCTCCGCAGCGGCCTCAGGGACACTACAAAGACAGCGACCTCCTCCTTCTCCTCCTTCTCCTCCTCCTCCCCCGCGCGCCGCCCTCGCCGCTACTGGGGCCGCTCATCTAACCCCGCCACCCGGGGAGTGTGAGGAGGAGGCGGTGCCGCCACCAACGCCGCCACCACCACTGCCTCAGCCGGGGCTGCCCGCAATGGGAAGCTACCGACAGGAAGGAGCATGCGCCACGCCTCGCGCATGCTCAGTAACCTGAGCTCGCTCCCTACCCCCCCCCCCAACCCCCGTCTGCCACCACTCCCTCAGCCTCCGGGCTTTGGGTGTGGGGTGGATAGTTGGTGCGGAATCTACAGAAAATCCACCTCTCCGGGTTTTACTAGCGGCATGAGGAAGAATAAGGAGGGTGTGCTGGGTGGCTGTCACCTACAAGCATTTGTCTTCAGGTAATGGGGTTCCCTCCAGATGGGAGATGGAAAACCTGAAGGAAAGAGAGAATGTACCCTTGGCCAGGGGACAAGTGCCAAGCCCTCTTGCTACCTTTCCACATGTGCGTGCTGACAACAAGGTTTACTGTGAATAGGAATGATTAGTTCAGAATTCACGGGTCCTTTTACCTGACACAGTTCATCCGAATTAGAAGCCCCTTTGGCAATTTTTAATTGTTTTGGAGTTTTTGTCATTGGGATTTAAGTCTCTTTAAAAATAGCTTTTAATTTAAAAAACACAGTGGAGACTACTCCCAAGCCCAAGTCATTCCAAAATTCTTGTTCTCAACATTTATATCAAAGCTAAATCTTAGTATAGTAATTTTTTAAAACAAATAAACTGCCACTATCTTTTCGTGGGCTTCTCATTCACCCTAAGGGTGCACTTTTATCTCTTGACAGTAGTCACAATGGTTTATCTTTTTTTTGCCCAGATTTACATTCTTCAAAATGATTCTTGAATATGACTGGAAACTATAATCATGGCTAAGATTGTATAACATGCAAATATCAGACCTACAGGTATTATCATTATTATCTATAAAATTCAACAGTGACTGAGTTCTCTTTTCCAAGATATTCTACCAACTCTAAGTAAGTTCTCTGAAAACAAATGCCAATTTCCCTGTTTCCTAAAGTTTTTTTTCCTTACTGACTCTCAATTTGAAGAATTTGCTTAATTTACAGTGCTGACAAAATTATTTTAAGTCCTGGCATCCCAGTACTGTTTCTTCTACTTATTAGTTCTTTTATCTGTGTGTTTCAGTGGCTCTTAAAAAATGAAAAAGTCTTGCTTGAGAGTACAAACAAACATTGGGGGAGAAAAGTGATTCTAATTTCGGAGGAGAAAGGGTGCTGAAAAGAATGAATTTTATCTGGAACTTTAACTGATAGGTGCATATCGTTTTGATTTTTAAAAAAGATAGCTAGAAATAGGATAATGAAAACAGAAGAACAAAGGATAGCCATGAGAAATTCAATGTTTTAGTACCTGTTAAATAAGTTTTGCGATTATCTTGTTGCCTCAATCATTTTCTAAATTCTCTCCAAACTTCTCCGTTTATTTTTGTCTGTTTGTTTGTTTTATTAGTTCCTAGCCTGGAACTTGACACATGGTAGATATGCTATGTGTAAATATGTATTTATTAGGCTATATTTCTACCCTAATATAAACCTTAAAGTTGAACGGGAAACCCCCAACCCCACTACCACTCTGAAGTGAGAGGGAGCCAACATACTGGCACAATGAGGCAGCTCAACTCTTCAGTATCAGAGTAAAGGTCACTGTGAGGGTGCATTACCCGTTGAAAGAGGCAGCTGGGTAACTAAAAGGTTCGGAAATGAAACTACCTTGGATTTGGGCCATGGCTCTGCTACTTAAATCTTGTATATCTTTGAGAAAGTTTCCTTCTTTGAATAATGATCAAAATAATACCTACTACATGAGATTGACAAGAAGACTTAAATCTTCTAGATGTCCACTTTGGCATGAGGCTTTTCATAAATGGTAATACACATTAAACAAAACATTAGACTTTTTTTTATAAGAGTGGGAATGATGTCTGAGTCTATTTACCTGTTGCACTCCCAGCTCCTTGCACAGAACTATCCCTAAGCCTGAGGAAAATAGATTCCGGATGCTTGAACACAGAGAAGCATTTCCAACGCAGCCTTAGGTGCTGTCTTGTGCAGTCATTGACCATTTAGAATTTCTGGTGGACACTGACCCGTGTGGCTGTACCAGTGTCAGCAACCTCTTAATTTCCCTTCAGTCCTAACAGTCACTCCCAGACAAGCCTTTCATGAGCCTCCTGGATACAGGCAAAACCCGGTAACTGGATGATTTCCTAAGAAACCTGATGTCACTGTGCAGCACCACTAGGCATGCGCAGAGTGTCACACATACTCATTTAGGTATCAGAGGGTGGCGTCTCTTGTGCGGTTGGCAGCGTTTCCTTCCACGGCAGTGGCAGCGGTCGCTTTACTCTAAATTGATAGCCAATGCAGCGGTCTTTTTCTCCTCTTTCCCCTCCTCCTCTTCCTGCCTCTGCACTGTGTGCTCCTGTGTGTGTGCAACTACTACAGCTACCGCCTTGGCAGCTGGGTACCTTGGAAGGCTCCTCTGTGATGGCGGGGAGTGGGGCGAATGCCAGGAAGCAAAGGGCATTTGGAGCGACCCTTAATTCCACTGTCAAGGGGACGTGAAGGGGAAGGTGGTCCCCAAGGCAAGGGTCATCTGAACAGTTTCTGCAGAGCACAGTTGTAGGTTCCTTGTAATATGCAGTGCTAGCGTCCCCTCCTGCTACTCTCTGGAGCACTACTACCAAGTGCCTTATGCAGCCTAAGGGTAGGGAGTGATGGGGCGCGGCGGGGGTGGGGTGGGGGGTGGGGTGTTTCTAAGGAGCTATGCAGAATGAAAAAATACGGAGGGCTTTGCGTGTATTTTGCCAGTCCCTTGAGCGTGGCTTTCGTACTTTGCACACTGCCATCTTAGCTTTATCTCTGGCCTGGCTAAGCGTGTGTGCTGTAGTGTGAAGGCTGGAGGGGTGGGGACATGGGGGGCCGCCCTGGGCGAGTTGGGTGTCAGTGGGCTAGATAGGAGTACATGACGCATTCGCCCTCAAAGAATAGCCTGCATGGAAGAAAGGCAAACCCTGCCTCTGCCCATTTTATTACGGGAATACTTACTTTTCAGTCTTTTTGTTGATAGGCTCATTTCTCAAAAGACTTGCCTATGATTGTGTAAAAAAAACCATGGCTTCATCTTTCATTCAGGATCCCAGGTTTTTATCGTTCTTTTCCACTTGACCTTACAAATCTGGACCACAATAGAACTTTTACCATGTTTGCATTTTTTCTACTGTATATCTTTAAAGGTTTTTTTTTTTTTTTTTTAGGAAGGCACCAGCCCTGGTATAGTAAATAACAGGGCAGGAGCCATAATGTGTATATAAGAGAACATACTGATGTTGTTAATAGTTCATTTAAAAGGGTAACACACTAATACAAGCATACAAACACAAGAAATATGTATATTATCAGGCACACCAAGACTGCTGAAAATGATCTGGTTTAAAGTCTCAGTTTGTTTCCTGGATTTATACAATAATCTACTGGAGCATTTAAAAACATAATTGGGAACTGAGAGCATTTTGAAACAAGGCTGGTAGCTGAGAATAATTTGGAGGAAAATGTTCTCAGGCTTGAAGAGTGAAAAAATGCTTCACTCCACAGTGACCTTGGCTTTTTAAGGGTCACGGGAGTCTGCATTCTTAACCAGTATGATATTGCAATTTAAAATAAAATATATTTCATGTATACTCCAAATGTAAGATAAAAATTCACCATGGCAATTGAAAATTTATTTATTTAATCTTTTTTTTTTTTTTTTAATTAAGAGAAAGGGTCTTACTGTGTTGCCCAGGTTGGCTCCAAACTCCCGGGCTGAAGTGATCATCCTACTTCAGCCTCCACCAGGCTCAGCTTGAAATTCTTTTGAGTATAAATTATACATGTCATCCCTCACCTATCTTGATCCATAGGTAGGAAGAGTTAACGCTTTTTTCATTTCATTTTTACTAGTTTTGAAAGATGTAAATTATATGTCAAAAATTTCCTACAAATAAAAATTTTTAGGTTAACCCCCAAAAAGTTATTTTGAAATATTATTTGTGAGTGTATGCCTTAAAGTATGTGAATCTCATGATCTATATAAATGCAAATCATAACATAATTTGAAAATCTCATTTATGATGCATTTAGACCACACCATGCTTTCACAACTGAGAAAGTCATGTAAAGTATCACTCTTCTAATGAGGGAAGTCAAAGAACAACAGAATTTTATCTTTGAAAACTTTATAGTTTACAAATGATTATTAGGCTGGTGTTTATTACTAAGGATACTTTAAATTATATATCTTCATACACTAAAAGGCCACTGGAATTCTTACACAGAACAACTGCTTTGTCATATTAAATTTCCTTAAAATATAATTAATGAGGTTGTTGGCAAATCTTCATTTAGATATATACTTATATATAAGTATACTTACATTTAAATGACTAAACTGATTATAGTAGGCATACTGTTTTGTTTGTTTGGGTTTTTATAAGACTTCAGCCTTTCTTAGACTTGTCTTCTCATCAGGAAAAAGGATAATAGCAGTACTTCAGAAAATTCTTTGAGGATTACGTTAAGTAATATGTATGAAATACTTGCTTGGCACACTCCCTGGAAGGCAATACAGTAAACATTATTATTAATTTTACGTGAATATATTAATGGTCCCTTAATTGCGATGTGTCTCAATCCTGTGCTAGAGGAAGTAACAAAACATGTATACAGTTTGAGTTGCATAGACTTGGGTTTGGAAAGTTTATTGTTGTTCGTGTGTGTGTGTGTGTGTGTGTGTGTGTGTGTGTGTATTTTGTTTTTTGACAGAGTCTTATCCACAAATACAGATTTGCAATATCTTGACAAAAACAAATTCTGAAGACAATACTTATTTCCCTAAAGTACCTGCTCTTGAATAATGATAATTCACAAAACATATTGCTTCCTTTTATAAATTCAGTGACTTTTTGGAATTTTAACTGATGATTATGTTTTGTAATACTAGTCAAAACAAACTATAGCTTCTTTTCACACTACTGGTGGCTATGCTGTATGTGTAGGTTCAGAACTTATAAATCATTCATAGCTCACATTCTCCATTAATTGGTCTGTAATTAACATCAAAATCTTAGCCCTGTTCAGTTTGACTTTCTATTTTGATAAATATTTTTACTGTTGTATTTTGAAAGTTAGAAGAAATCAACTTCCTAATTCTTCATATATACTTGTCTTAAAAAATATTTTGCCTCTTTTTTGACACCATGTTAGGTTTGCCTTCATACTAGGCCAGAGCTACTGAAAGATTTTTAGAAGATATTTTATGGAAAGTAGTTAATATTCTA